TGGCTGCGTTGGGTCTTCACTGCTGTGCACGGGCTTTCTCTAGTTGCGTGAGTGGGGGCTACTCTTCTTTGTGGAGCGCGGGCTCTAGGCGCGCGGGCTTCAGTAGTTGTGGCACGCGGGCTCAGTAGTTGTGGCTCACGGGCTCTAGAGCGCAGGCTCAGTAGATGTGGCGCACGGGCTTAGTTGCTCTGTGGCATGTGGGATCTTCCTGGACCAGGGCTAGAACCCGTGTCTCCTGCATTGGCAGACGGATTCTTAACCACTGCGCCACCAGGGAAGTCCCAAGGTGGCTGGTTTCATACTACTCCTCCATCGGTCCATCACTGGCTGCCACCTTCCGAGCACCTCTGGGTGAGGCAGCTCCCATCAGCTAAGGGCAAGGCTCCCAAGAAGGGCACAGGTGTGAGCCGGCAGCAGGTGGTGGGCACGCTGGACCAGCACGGCATCTGCCCCACGTTGACCACAGCACCGGCTCTTCTCAGTCAGCCAGCCTCTGCTCGCGGCTTTGCTCCTTGATCCTCAGGCTCCCATTTCTTTACATCCCTCACAGCTCCCCAGAAGGCCCCTGCTGCCCCCGCACACTTGCCCCTGTCGTTCCCTCCACCTGAAACCCCTTCCCTCCACCTCACCTGTGCCTCTGGGGGCCACTGAACCACCGCCTCCAGAAACCTTCTCTGGTTGCCAGCACTCCCCAACCTGTGCGGGGGGGGTCTCCCCCTTCTTTCCACCTCCATCTTTCCCATTTCCCCAGAGTTTTATGTCTCAGTTTCCTTCATGAATGCCCTTCTTTCTTAAATATTGCTGCTTCTCACGTCATGGCTTCTGGGACCAGTGACTCCCAGATCTGAGTTCTCAGCCTGGGTTAAAGGAGATGCCGAATCATTCTTGACAACCTTCTATCTATCATCTTCCACATCCGACTGGTCTACTCACAAGAACCCCTCCAGGCCCTCCTCCCCATCTGCCCAGCCCTGTCCTGTCTCTTGCTGGATCCCTTCAATGGCCCCTAATGTCCCCCTGTCTCCACCCTTGGCCCCTAATCCTCCAATGAGGATGTTCTTCCTAAACGACAGATCTGGCTTGTCACTCTCTTGCTCATTACCCTGCTGTGGCTCCCCATTGCTCTAAGAAGAACAGTGGTGCCCTCAGTCTGGCTCACTGAGCCCCCGGTCTGGCCCCTTTTGGGCTTCCCAGCCTCTCCTGCTTCCCTGCTTCTGGTGTTGCCCCATGTCTTGTCCCCAGTGGTCCTGGAACCATGCCAGACTCTTCAATGCCTTCATCCTCTTCTCATCTCTGGAAGAGCCTCCAGTCTTGCCTCTGTTTATCCAGCTCAAGCTGCCTTCCAAGCTGGACTCCAGTCTGCCTCTTCCAGGAAGCCTTCCCTGCCTGCTACAGGTCTCACCCTCGGCAGAGCGGGCAGTGTCCTAGGCACAGGGGCTGCTCTCTCGGAACTTGTTAACTAATGGATACAGGGAGGGCTGGGTGGATCTTGAATGGATCCTTGAGTGAATCTCCTTGAGCAGAAGGGTCTAAACTTGGTCACAAAGGGAATGAAGGGTGCGACAGGTCTAGAGAAGCACCCGGTGGGCAGGAGCATTGATTGGAAGCAGGACACGGCGGGGGGCATGGGGCCTGCAGATGTGTGGGGAGCATCTACGTGACAGGGCCTCAGGCTGTGTGGGAGGGCGTGGGGCAGGCGGGCAGCGGGCACGAGGCATTGTCCTGAAGGGAGGAACTGGACAGGCACAGGCTCTGTGGGTGTGGGGCTTCGCGGACGCAGGGCACTGGGAGAGGACCGGGCGCTGAATGGATGTGCGGTACAGGCCATTGGATTGCCCTGAGGTACTGTGGGGCCTGGGGTATTTGGGGTGGGGCCCTGAGCTGGGCCTTGGGTCAGAGCCATCACTCAGCTGCCCTCAATTGCCCCAGGAGTGGTGCAGAGCATCAAGGACCACATCACAAAGCCCACGGCCATGGCACGTGGTCGAGTGGCCCACCTCATCGAGTGGAAGGGCTGGAGTGCCCAGCGCTCAGCCTGGGAGCTGTCCACAGCCGAGGACGAGCATTACTGCTGCCTCCCAGATGAGCTGCGTGAGGCCCGCTTTGCCGCAGGTCAGAGGGCGGAGGGCGAGCTTGGGGACGGGGACTGGCCGGGGCTGTAGTCCTTAGGGGACCCAGGGTCACCACCTGGGCATCGTCTGGGCAGGCAAGAATAATGCCGTGGGGTGGAGGGGGCATTGGTGGGCACATGCTGATCAGCATGCCTGGGCATGGATGGGCAGCCCCAAGAGGCAGTGTCTGGTGCCAGCCTGACCTGGCACCGGATGCCCCACACATCCTCTGCCCGTGCCCCTGCTGAGCCGGGTCCGTCCCCCACAGGGGTTGCCGAGCAGTTTGCCATCACGGAGGCCACACTGAGTGCCTGGTCCTCGCTGGACAACGACGAGCTGCCCCCAGAGAACAGCCCCCGGGACGTCATCCAGCTACAGGGTACAGCCCGGCGGGCGCCAGGGCGGGCTGGGTGCGGCAGAGCTGGGGCTGCATGCCCGCTCTGCCCTGTGACCTCAGACAAGCCCCTGTGTCCCTCAGCCTTAGTTTTTCTTCATCTGAAAAATGGGACTGGTGATCCTTGCCCTGCCCATTGCCCGAGGAGTGCCACGAGCATAAAGGAGAGAAAGATAGATGATAGACAGACAGATAGATAACATGAGGATAGATAACCGAGGCATTAAGAAACTCACCTCAGATTACACAGCTACAGGCATCAGAGCCAGGATCTGAGCCTTAACACCAAGCACAGTCAGCCACCTTTCTAGGACCCCGGGTTACTACCGAGAGCTTCAGGGAGCCTGGGTCCTGGGTGGCGCCTGCACCCACCATCTCATCTGCTCCTCCCTGCGACAGTGAGGGCAGAGAAGGGAGTGGAGGCCTGGGAAGAGCGCTGGCTGTCCCACTTCTCAGAGCGCAGAAGGATTTGAGGGCTCTGGCTCCAGAGCCTGCTCTTAACTATTCTGCTCACTGCCACTGCCACCACCACCCTGTCACGCCCCCAGGGAGAAACTGGGGCTCAGAGAGATTCAGTGACATGACCAAGGTCACACAGCTTGGCAGTGGCAAAGCCAGATTTGGAGGCAGGTCTTCTGCCCCTCTCCCTGCCTCACGCTCCCAGAGAGGGTGCGGAGCCAGGTCTTCTGGACTCCTTTCCTCACCCCCACACCCCTGCTGCTTTTCCAGACCTGGAGAGCATCTACCTTCAGGACAGTCTTCTGAGTGTCCCCTCGCAGGATGACAGTCTTCTGGCCTTCTTCTCCCCCGATGGATGGCCCTCACCTGACGAGCCCCCCACCATCGCCTCTGGCCCGCAGCCCCCCAGCCCCGAACAGCAGCACTGGCAGCGGCTACTGGGGGCCCCGGGGCCCGAGGGTGGGGCCCGCCTGCAGGGCTCCTTCCCGTCGGTGGACAGTGGCTCCCTCTCGGAGGAGGACGAGGTGTTCTATAACTGAGGCGGGGGCCGGAGGCTGCTCACGCCGTGACCTTGCCTGGTGGGCAGCCCAGGTGTATCAGGACACCAGGGTCTGGCTGGGCATCTCTTGACCCCTCAGGGCAGGCACGGGCTGGGTGCGGCAGGGATGGGGGCCAGCATTCCTTGGGGACCATTCCGTGCCTCTGTGGACCTGCCCCCCGCAGTGGGAGCCGTAATCCCTCTTTACTTGGCTCAGGCGGGCACCTTCCCCTGCAGTTTCTGCCATGGGCGAGCTCAAGGACTCTCAGCAGACACCAGGCAGGCCACCCAGAGGGGCCAACAGCCAGGTTCCCAGGCAGACAACCGCGGAACGGCCTGGGAGACCCGCCTGGACCCCAGGGCTCGGTTCCTCGCCCCTCCCCTCTGTGCTTCTGCCCCCCACCAGAGGCGGGGTAGCCTCTCGGGGTACCTAACATCTGCTCCTTAGTGCTCTTCACGAGGATTCTGTCTCTGGAGTGTCTGTCTGTCCCTCACTCTCTGGGTCTGCTCCCTGGTGCCCTGCTCCCCGCTCCTTGCTCTCTCCTCCCATCTCCCTGAAGGTTCTCTGAAGACATTAAAGTGGTGGATTCACCCTGGAGGAACTTGGCCTGGTCTCTGCTGGGGACGGCATGTCCTCAGGCCCTGGCGGGGGGAGCTCTAGAAGGACTTTGGAGAGGGCCCCTACCCCCAAAATACACAGACAGCTGGTCAACCTGCTGCCAGCAGCCAGGAGGGTCCCCGTGGAGGATGCTTAAGGCTCTGTGGACTCTCCAAGGAACCACACATGGGGACCCCGCTTTGTCAACCCTGGCTCAGCCAAGGAGGAGGCTGAGGCTGCTGGAGTGAGGGAAACTGGGCCACAGGGTCGTGCTTACACATGACGACAAGCATCATAAGACCTGGTGGGAACCTGCTTTCATAACCCCCTGCCAGGAAGGGGGACATGAGGAGGCGTGGGAAACCAGGCCCCCGGCCTGCAAGGCCCACATGACCACCAGAGGGCCCCCAAGAGCTCACTCAGGGCCGGCGAATGTGGCCTTGCTGAGGTGGCAAGGTAACACCCTGGGTGCTGAGATGAGGGACAGACGGCTCTGGCAATCAGCTTTATTTTTTCTCAGGAGCCTCCGGTTGGGAGTCATACAACCCTCAGAGGGCATCTCTGCGTGCCCTTGGCGACAGAATATACCAATGTCTTCATTCGTGAATTTGATTCTTTCATGGAGCACCCACCATACGCTGGTTTTCTGCTGTCTGGCATTCTGAGTTCTGTCCAGAGGGGAATTTGTCCTTCAAGGCAGGTAGCACTTGTTTCATGGAGAATGGGACGTGGTGACTATGAGGCCTCTTCAGTGCTAGCTTAGCTGCCTACTTTGCCAAGGAGTTGAGCTGGGCTGGAGGGGAGGGGTGCGTTATGATGTGGGGGGAGAGAGGCAGGGTCTCTGCCCCATCTCCTTCACCAGGGCAGCTGAGGGGCCCTGTTTCATCTTGCCAGGCTGGCTCACTTTGGGGCCGGAGGGTTTGTCAGGTTGGAAATTGCTTTCTTCAACTAGAACAGAGAACAGAGTGGGGAGGATGTAGAGGGGATTGCAAGTGGGGGGCGCCAGTATAGTTTGACTCCCCTAAGGGTTGATTCTGGAGTGAATTTTAGAGCCAGTGCCTCCCTATTGCATAGATCAGACCACTGAGGCCCAGAGAATGGCAGGGCTGGCCACAAAATACGGTACAGGTAGCTGGACCAAGTGGCTGGCTACTCTGGGCCAGGAAGTGAGGCTCATCAGAATCCCATGGGGCCCCTCCAAGTGTTTTTTTTTTTGGCCACGCTGTGCGGCATGTGGGATCTTAGTTCCCCGACCAGGGATCGAACCCACGCCCCCTGCAGTGGAAGAGCAGAATCTTAACCATGGGACCACCAGGGAAGTCCCAAGGCCCCTCCAAATTTGATGGCAGAATTTTGGTGCCCCCCCACCTCCCCAGCCTGTTCGAGCATGGCTCCTCCCCTTTGCTCCACCCTCGGAACCATGGTACCTCCACCCAAGACACGAAGCCCACAGCTCTGCCTTGAGACGTCACAAAGAGGGACTGAAGATTCAACAGCTCGAAGAGGTTGTGTGCCTGCAGCGGGGGCGGTTAGGAAACACTGGAGGATAGGTGGCACCCACCCGAACCCTCTGGCTTCAGTTTCTTCCTAGCTTGGCAGCTTTGAGCAGAGGTGAAGGCCCCGGCCAGGCTCTGTCCCAGTGGTGCCCACCCCACCTTGTTTCTGAGCCCGGGAGGGCTGGACAGCTGTGATGGTGGGTGGGAGACCAAGACCTGGGCCTGCAATGTCCAATGTGACCACCAGGGGCCCCCAGAGTCCACACAAGGGACTAGTGGAAAGGACCCGTTTTTCAGCATCATCCGGCATGACCCATGTGCCAGGCTCTGTACTTGCAGGGAGGAGGGGATCAGCATTCAGAGTGATTAAGTACTTTGCCCAAGATCACACAGGCAGAATGTGGTAGACCTGAAATTGAAACCCATGTGTGCCTTGATGAAAAGACATTTTTTTTTTTTTTTTTTATATTTTTTGCGGTACGCAGGCCTCTCACCGCTGCGGCCTTTCCCGTTGCGGAGCACAGGCTCCGGACGCGCAGGCTCAGCGGCCATGGCTCACGGGCCCAGCCGCTCCGCGGCATGTGGGATCTTCCCGGACCGGGACACGAACCCGCGTCCCCTACATCGGCAGGCGGACTCCCAACCACTGCGCCACCAGGGAAGCCCCAAAAAGACATATTTTTAACCACTGTTTCTCTCCATCCAGAATCTTCTGGTTCCCAAGCTCTCCCTATTCCCTAGTCTCTGCATCATCCCAACAGCCCTGGAACTGAGAGACAGAGAGGGCGGGAACTGCATGCCCATTCCGCAGGTGAGGAAGCAGGCCCAGGAGGAACAGAGAGACACATAGCATGTCCGGGAAGCTGGAGCCAAGCTTCCCTCTCAGGCTCTTCCCCTCTATCCCAGGGCCCCTGTCTGCCCACAGCGAAAAATTTCCCCATTACCTGGTGCAGGGAGGTCTCCGGGGACAGCTTCAGGGTCACTGGCTCCACGGGGCAGCCCCCAGCCAAGATGTCCTGCAGACATTGCTGGGGATAGGGGAAGGGTTATGGGGGCCTGGGACGGCTCCCCCTTCCCCAGGCAGCCCCTCTCAAACCACAGGCTATCAGCTGGCCACTCCCCTCACAACCCTGCCGACTCCCCATCCTCTACTGACATCTCATATGAGCACTCACCTGGTGTCCTGGAACCCAGGAGGGTGGCTCAGCCTGGAGGGCCTGCACCAGGTGTGCCCTTTGCACGGTGCCCACCAGTATCTGAGACTCTGGACAAGTGGAGAGGGAGAGGAAAAAAGCCACATTATGAAAAAGGAACTTACATTTACTGGACAGCTACAATGTGCCAAGAACTGTGCTGGGTGTTCTCATGACTGTCGGGAACGTACAGCACCTATGGGTCAGGAACTATTATCACCCATTTTACAGAAGAGGAAACCGAGGCTCAGAGGCACAGAGAGGTTAGTTGTCTTGCCCAAGGTCACTCAGCTTCTGACGTGGAGGAGTGGTAGCTGAGGGTGGCCAGGTAAGGCTGCCAGGGGGCCGGGAGGTAACCTGCCCACCCCAAGATGCCCCACCTGGCAGGGCCTCAAGGCAGGAGCAGGTCTGGGACACCTGCATGAAACTGTCTGTGTGCCAGGGCTGGGCTTTGTCCCTCATTTCCCATAGGAAGTTTCACTGGCTTAGCCCAGTGAAGGCATGAACCTGGAAGGCCACCATGTTCTGAGGTCCTCCTGTGTGCTGGAGGCTTGGCAAGCCCCACTCCAGGGTATCACTGGAGTCTGCAGGTATTTAGTTTTGAGGGACAGCCTGATATTTTTGATTTTTGTCCAGTAAAATAAAAACTTTACAACTGGACATAGCCTGGACCTGTTTAAAAACAAAAACAATTAAAGCTATTTCTTGGATGAGCAGCAGGGTCCCACAGGCTGGGCCTGTGCTGGTTGGGAACTCTTTGCTTCCTGTGGCTCTAAGGGTAGAAGTAGAGTTTGTCTTGTTCTAGCAGTGGGGTGAAGCTTCTTGCGGGGTCACCCATATGCAGATATTTTCAAGTGTGATATTTGGCGTGTTCTATGGGATAATGTTATAGGTGTCCCAATTTGAGTGGGGAGAAGGGCCTGGCCTTTGGGATGAAAACCTCTGACAACTCTGTCCTCCCTATTTTCCAGATGTGGCAACTGCAGTTCATAGAGCTTAAGGAATTTATCTACAGTTCTGCTGTTCATAAATAGCTTTATGCCTCTTGGGGTAGGTATGGGGATGACCCATACGGTTGTGCAGGTCGCTCACTGCACAAGATACCTGCCCAAAGGACAAGTGGGGATCAAAATCCAGCTGTGCTATGCTTGCCAAGTGTGCATTTTGTTTCATTTGCACAAAGGGGACATATGGGCTGACAGTGGCCCTGAGTGGGGCATGGCTGTCCCCTCCCTACCCCCCAGCTTATCTTTCCCATTCATACTGTACTTGTCCTAGAGGGAAATGATGCTCTAGCTAGGTCCTCTCCCAAGATTCAGCTTATGTGTCTTTTAACAAGGGCCCCCACTCATTTTTCTCTAAAAGGATGTCTTTCTCATGGCAACAGGGTTGAGGGAGGTGACTCAGTTGGGGAATGCCTGAAGGGGAGACTGAGGGAAGGAGCCTTCCGGGAGGCCCTAGTAGTGTTCCTATCATCCTACCCCTGCTCCGCAAGTAGGATGGCTATTACCTCCATTTTACCAATGAGGAAACTGAGGCTCAGAGAGGTGAAGTGACTTGTCCAAGGTCACACAGTTGCAGAGCCCGGTTTTGGATCCAGGTGCCTGATAGGTACAATGCCCTGCTTACCCATTCCTGGGCCTGACCCTCCCAGGTCCAAGAGGAAGGTAGAGGGAATGCCTCCTCCCCATTCATGCTCCCCCTTCCTGTCGGGCACCTGTGCTCTCCACCAGGGGGTACTCGGCAGTGTCTGTGGAGGTCACGACCTTGACCACCTCCTCCTGCGGTGTGTCCTTGGCCAGCGTGGTGATGGTACAGTTCATGAAGTGCTCCACAATTACATGGTGAGAGCTGGGGCAGAGGGATGCTCCCATCAGGTCCTGGGGTGGGGGTTTATCCAGACCCCTGGACAAGCTGGGGCGACCCGGGAGGAGTTTTGCCGGTTCTCCAGCGTGGGCAGGGTCTAAGAGATTCCTGGGATGAACAGATCCTAGCACCCCAAGGTGGGGAGGGAGGAACCTGGGGACCAGCTGGCCTATGGCCTGGCTCTGGATTCCCAGCCCTCCCCTCTGGACCCCTATCTCCCCCCTAGACCAGCTCTACTTTGATCTGTTTTATTCAGAAGCCGTCGCTGGAGAATTTCATTTGAAGAAAAGTTTTATGGCATAAAGGGAAAAAAGAGCTTTAAAGTTTGAAAATCACGGGAGTAACCACACCCATTTAACAGATGGGGAAACTGAGTCTGGAGAAGGGGGCAACTTGCACATGTTTGGAGCTGGGCCTTGGACCCAGGGCTCTCAGAGCCTCTTAGTCCTGCTTCTCTGCGGACAGGGGCTGCTCGGCCCTGTCTGGTTGAGTCAGGACCTCAAAGCTCGTTTCCATTGCAGTATTCCAGTCCCACCTCCAGCTCCCAACGCCCCAGTGAGGACAGCAGAGCAGGAGCAGGGGGAGGGGTGGGACCTCCCAGAGCTGGTGCTGACTCTCTGTGTGACCTGGAGCAAGACATGGCACCTCTCTGAGCCCCACTTTCTGACAAATGGGCGATATCTGTCCTACTGTTGTGGAGACCGACTGATGACCAGTAAGACACTGAGGCCAAGGACTCCCCCACGGTCACACAGGGAGCTGGAGAGAATGGAGACTAGGGAGCAGCCATGTGTCGGCCCCTCCCACACTCACCCATGTCCAAGGTCAGCCCACCAGGACACCTCAGTCAGCTAGCCTGAGCAGACACCGCTCACCTGATTTTTCGGCACCGGATCCACGGAAGGTATGGCAGTTTCTTGACAATGATGGTGCCGTCATAGAAGGAAGGCTGACAGCTCTGGGCGATGGCGTTGGCCGCCAGCACCGCCATCAGCACAGGTAGTGCGTGCACGATCTGGCCAGTCAGCTCGAAGGCCAGCAATGCTGTGGAGATGGTGTGGGTCACAGCCCCTGAGAAAGCCGCAGCCCCTGCAGGGGGCAGAGCCAGGGAGGGGGGCTCAGGCCAGGAGACAGCTTCATGCAAAGGGCAAGGCTGCTGTGACTATGGCCATGGGCTGGGGTGGGAATTGTCCAGAGGCCACACATTGGCCACTGTTGGAAGTGCCCTATGCCTGGGCTTGGTGAGGGAAAGGGCAGTAAGGAGGAAGGGGCACCAGGGACAAGACAGGAGCTAGAAAAAGTAACGGAGGCTAAGGGGCGGGGCTCAGGGAAGGGTGGGGATCATTGGGAGGCTAATGACCTCCCCATGCCCTGCAGAGCTACTGGCTGATTCTCCGGGTCCAGCCCAGACCCACGAGGTTTGCCCATCCGGTGGGAACCCGGTTTACTCACCTGCCAGGGCATACCCCCCAGGCATGATGGGGTTGGTGACGCCTCCAGCCACGATGCCCTCTGGGAAGGCAACAGAGAGGGCCTCCCCTATGAGGCGCCCGATGGCAGCTCCTGGTCGCAGATTTAGGGTGAGGGCAGGGAGCCAGGCTGACCCGGTCCCCACAGCCCTCCATCCCTGGGGATCAACCTCAGTACCATCCTGGGGAGGTAGGTGGACCAGGAGCCATGGCCCTGTCCCAATAACCCTGAGTCTCTCAGACCCTCAACACCCCAGACTCACCGAAGATAAATATGGGCATGAAGTACCCAGCGGGCATGGGGATGGTGGTGGCCAGAATTATCATCCAGAACTGTGGGTGGTGGGAACCGAGGGGGCAGAGGTTAGAGGCAGCTGGACAAGAGTAGGCAAGGGAGGGACAAGACAGGGGACAGGGGGGTTTCCCAGGGAGAAGGAGGATGCCCAGGCACACGCCCATCGCCAGTATCTGGTGTGAGGGAAGGTGTGCCCAGGGGAAGGATCCCCACCCTGGCAGAGTGCCTACTGCGTGCCTGGCACTGTGCCAGGGGCTCTCCTTTCTTCCCTCTCAACCTTCCTTGATGTAAGCCCAGTAACTAGCCCATTTTAAAGATGAGGAAACTGAGGCTCAGAGAGCTGAAGCAACTTGCCCAGGACCACACAGCGGGCAGAGGTCAGGCCAGGGAGTCTGCATGAAGGCCTAGGCCCTGCGCTATGTACATGCTATGGGGAGGTACCCCATCCCACCCAAGGCTGGCCTCAGCTCTGCACACATCCCTGGGGGCCCCGGGAGCCCACCTTCATAACAAGGAAGAAGGCGAGGGTCCCAAAGATGGTGAACCGTGGGTGGTACCATTCGAACCATAGGTTCTGTGGGTCGGGCTCCGAGGGCCAGGGTGGGGACGAGTTCCGGGTCATCAGTGCCCATGAGTTATTGTCGAACAGTGAGTCCAGATGCTCCCTCATGGACAGCTGGAGAAGGGGGCAGCTCGGAGTTCTGCGTGAGGGCTGGGCGGCAGTCCCTGCCACCCCCCCACCCCCCCACCCCCCCACTGCCTGACCCTGCCTCAGATCCTCATCTGCCACTTCCTGTTGGGGGGAGACCTTGGGAAGGGCTCTGGCCCTCCTGGAGCTGCACAGCCATCCCCTTATAGGTGTTGTGGGGATTAAGGGAGATGATGGGCACAAGTTGGACAACGACTGGGCATTATTCCCCCCTCTGGCCACCCCAGCTCAGCACCCCTTACCCGAGAAGCCATGAAGCGCCCCACGCCAGGGGGATAGGTGATGGAGGCAAGAACCAAGGCCGCCAGAGCCGAATACAGAGGCTTTCTGTGGGGTGGGGACAGAGGGCCAGCTCCAGAGGAGGCCAGCCGTCCTCTTCCCCTCCCCCCACCCCACGGAGCAGGCCGCCACCCTGTGGGCTGACGCTGAGGCAGGGACGGGAGAAAGAGGCACAGCAGCAGGGGACGGGTGGGGGTCAGCCCCACACCGCTCGGGTAAGCAGGGGTCGGAGCTGATAGGAGAGCTTGGGACAGAGGCAGGCTGCCCGCCAGGCAGGTGGGACCAGGGCAGGACCGGCCAAGGTGGAGGAGGGCTGATTCTGAAATGCCAACGCCAGGGGGCAGACAAGGTTGGGAAGGAGAGGGGGCTCAGTAAGGGTCCGGGGGCTCCATGGGGAAGCAGGGGTTCAGTGAGAGGGAGGGAGGTTAGTGAGGGAGGGAGGGCTCAAATATTGGGGTTGGGAGCCTAGTAAGTGGGGGAGCAGTTACTAGGGGGACCTGGACAGGGGTGTTAGTGAGGGGTGGGGATCTCTATATAAGGCTCAGGAGAGTCTAGGGGCATCACCCTGAGGGGTCCCTGGCCCCCATTCAGAGCCCACCTGGTGGCCAGCAGTTTGGAGAGGACCCGATTGGTCTTGACAAAGCTGAGGAACGTTCGCTGACAGAAGAGGTAAGCACAGCTCAGGATGCCACAGATGGCCCTGCAGGGAGGGGAGGGGAGTCCAGAGCCCCTCGCCAGAGCCAGGGGCAGCAGTTCAGGCTGGGGGAGGCCCCCAGTTGGGCTCTTGAGGGGCCAGAGGCATCCACTCACCCCAGCGCCACAAAAAAGAAGATCTCTGGCAGGTCAAAGGGGACGTCTACCCGGAAACTGGTCTTGTAGAGGGAGGTGATGGTCTCTGGGAAAGGAAGGGAGTGGGGATCAGGGACCACACTCCTACCCCAGCCAAACCGAAGGCTCAGAATTAACAGGCAGGAGTGGAGGTGCTGCCACGTCCTGCCCCCAAATACCCTTTCCCTGGCCCTGCCTCCCCGGCCAGCTGCATCCTCTTCTGCCCTCGGGGCTCCCATCCTTCATGCCCAATCCAGGTCAACTGGCTTCCACACTTCTAGAAGGAGGGAGTGGAGAGGGAGAAGAGAAGAGAGAGGAGAAAAGAGGGAGAAGGGAGGGGAGGGGGAGGAGGAAGGGAAGGCGGGGCAGGGGGCAGGGTCTAGGGCGGGGCTCACCCTGCTCGCTGTTGAAGACAGCCAGGAGGCGGAACATGAAGGCCCCACAGGTGGCAGCAAAGAAGCCCCTCCAGTAATCCCAGACGGAGAAGTGGGAGGACATGACCTCGATGCTGAACAGGACGCCTGGGGGCAACACTGAGCTTCGACAGACACCACCACGCCCATCCCAGTGCCCTGACCACTCCCGTCCTGCTCTCCCACAGCCCGAACAGACAGGGCCACCCCTTCTCTTTGGTCCTGAGCTGAGGGGAGGGGAGGGGAGGGGAGGGCAGGGCGGGAGCCCCCTGCCCAGGGAACAGGCTTGTAGGCGCTCCTCTCGGCCATCTCAAACTTTACAACAGCCTTTGGGGTGGGGACGATTACAATCCCCATTTTACAGATGAGGAAATGAGGCTGAGGACTGAACTCACCGACCCAGGGTCACGCAAGACGAACTGAGTTTCAAACCCAAGTCTGTCTAATGTGACCGTGAAGCACCTCGACGCCCACCCCCACCTCCACCCTGGGGCGGCTCTGCCCTCCCGGTAAGCCTGAAGTAACAGCCAACACCGGATTAGCCGCCATCCTCCCTGCGGGTTTCTCCACTGGGCGGAGGAGCGAGCTGGTCAGTCCGCCAGGGGAGGGACGGGGGTCGGGGGTGGGAGCCCGGGATGCAGGGGGAGGGCCTCACCGCTGAAGGGCGCTGCGAACACTGTGGCCACGCCCACCGCCGCTGCCGCCACCAGCATTTCGTTTTGCTTGCTCTTGTTCTGGGGGGATCCGGAGTCCCGAGCTGAGAGTCAGCCCCCGCCCTCCCCTCCGTCTCATTCCTCCAAGGAGGGGGGGCCCATGAGCCCCTTACCTCAGACTCCCCAGTGGCCTTGGTGCGCAGGCGGCCCAGGTAGGCAGCGATCATCACAGACAGGTGCACGAAGGGGCCCTGCCAGAGGAGGTGTGCGCACAGGGCACAGGGTCCGCCCCTTGGGGGGAGCCGGGGACCTTGCGCCTCTCCTTCCTCCCTCTCCGGGCCCAGGGTTGGGGGGTCGAGGGAGCCTCATCCAGAGACAGCTCGGCTGCCCCACCCACTCCCTATGCCTCCATCTCCCCAGTTCCTTTGTCACACTCTGGGGACCTGGCCTGTCTCCTCCCCAAGACTGAGCCCCGCGAAGGCAGGCCCTGTCCTGAGTTCCCCCTGACCTAGCTTCGGTGGGGATGGAGAAAAGGCAGAGGGGGCAGGAAGGCAGGGTGGGACAGGGTGGGGTGCTCTCATGCCCGTCCATACCACTTTGCCCAGGAAGATGGTGCTGCCCGTGGCCAGGGTGCAGGTGAGGCCCACCACCTTGGCCCCGAAGTTCTTGATATCCAGGTAGTCCTCCAAGACCACGCCCGACAGGATGGTCTTCAGCTCCGGAATTCCAGAACCTTGGCAGGGGATGGATGGACATGGACGGGGTGGGGGTGGGGAGGAAGAGGAGGGACAATCTCTGGATAAACACTTATCGCTTTACCCTGCACATGGCTTCACATCATGATCTCGTCAGCTCTCCTAAACCCTGTGAGTTAGGATTCCTAAACTCATTTTGCAGATGAGGAAGTTGTGGGTCAGAGAGGGGATGTGAATTGCCTAGGTGCTTCCAGCTGGTCCTGCCAGTCAGCTATTGCAGGATAGGGGGGAACCTAGGACAGAATCTCAGGCCACCCAGATGCATCCCTGCACCTCCCCTGTGCTGCTGGCCTGGAGCTGAAAGCAGAGCTGAGAGGCCTGGAGGACATGCGCCCCTCCGTGAGCCCCTCCCTAGGGAACCATGGTGCCGGCCCAGAGGAGCCCTCAGAAAGGGAGCAGAGCCAACAGTGACCTGAGTCAAGCAAGATCTGTCCTTCTGGGGCTTCCCTGGTGGCGCATGCCAATGCAAGGGACACGGGTTTGAGCCCTGACCCGGGAAGATCCCACATGCCGCGGAGCAGCTAAGCCCGTAGGCCACAACTACTGAGCCTGCGCTCTAGAGCCCACGAGCCACAACTACTGAGCCCACGTGCCACAACTACTGAAGCCTGCGCACCTAGAGCCTGTGCTCCGCAACAAGAGAAGCCACGACAATGAGAAGCCCGAGCACTGCAACGAAGAGTAGCCCCCACTCACTGCAACTAGAGAAAGCCCTCACGCAGCAACGAAGACCCAATGCAGCCAAAAATAAATAAATAGGGCTTCCCTGGTGGCGCAGTGGTTGAGAGTCCGCCTGCCGATGCAGGGGACACGGGTTCGTGCCCCGGTCCGGGAAGATCCCACATGCCGCAGAGCAGCTGGGCCCGTGAGCCATGGCCGCTGAGCCTGAGCGTCCGGAGTTTGTGCTCCGCGACGGGAGAGGCCACAGCGGTAAGAGGCCCGCGTACCGCAAAAATAAATAAATAAATAAATAAATAATATATAAATAAATTTATATATTAAAAAAAAAGATCTGTGCTTCTCACTGTGTGACTTCAGGCAACTTACACAACTCTTCTGAGCCTGGTTTCTCTGGCTGTGAAGTGGGGTTACTGTTTCCTGCCTCCGAGGGACAGGAAAAGCTTTGGGCAGTGGGCACTGTGGGGCAAGGCAAACAGGCGAATGGCATGGCGATGGGCTTACCTCCCGAGAAGGGCGTGATGCTCTGGGAAAAGCCTGAGGAGAAGGAGACCAGGGCCACAGGGTACACGGTCCAGGAGAGATACCGGAGTAGGTGGCTGTCCCCAATCTCCCGGTACAGCCACTTGTGTGCTGGGGACAGCTGGGAGTCAGGGAGCCATCCACAGGCTCTGCAGCCCTCAGGCGCCCACTTGCTGGCCAGGAAATGGAGGCTCAGAGGGCGGTGGCCCAGGACTACCCAGTAAGTGGCAGATCCCCAAGAGGAGGCAAGAGTAGGACCCTGGATCATATCCCAGTGTTGCCACTCCCTAGCTGAGTGACCTTTTGCAAGCCATTCAACATCTCTGAGCCTCTGTTTCCCCATCTGTCAAATGGGCTCTCAGATGAGGTCTGGTGCATGGCAGGTCCTCATAATGCCACCTGAGCAAGTCTCCCAGAGAAGGTGTGTTAGACAGTTCCTGCCCTGTGCCTCCTCTTCCAGGGAGACCTCAGGGTGGAGAAAGCCTGCCGAAGCATGGGGAGAGAATGTTCTATGCCTGGTGGTCTAGACAAGTGTTCTCCCCCACAGTTACCGAGCTGAGAGCAAGGAGAGAGGAGAAGGGAGCAGGGGCGGCAGGAAGCGGTGGGCACAGAGCTCGGAGGAAGAAGGAATATTTGGTCTTTCACTCACTGGGCAGATGAGGAGACTGAGGCCCAGAGAGGGGCAGGGGCCTGCCCATGGTCACACAGCAAGTCAAGAGCAAAGCCAGGACCAGACCCAGGCCTCGCCCTCCCCCACCCGCGCTGCACCTGGCGGCCCATCTGGCATCCCGAAAGCGTGCTCAAAAGCCCCAGGTCCAGAGCAGGCGTGCATGCCGGGGAGGGGTTACCTCGGACCACACGCCCGACAGTGAAGCTCATGGTGTAGCTGATCAGGGCCATGAGCACCCCGAGGGTCATCAGGAAGCACCAGTCCTCGCCCATGCGGAACAGTGCCTTCTTCAACCACTCGAGGCCGCCTGGGGCAGGGACATCGCGTGGCAGCCCAGGGCCCAGTGAGGGCACGGGGCGGGGGCGGGGCCCAGGGGCTGTGTGGGGCTGGGGCCAGGTGGTCGAATCCAGGGAAGCTGCGAGGGGGCTCTGCCTCATGTGAGAGACAGCAGGATTTGTGCAAGTGAAGGTGGCAGCACGGTGGCCCCGCCAGGAGGGGGCCTTTGACCCAACCGCCCTCCCCACCCCTGCCCCTTCCTGAGGTACTTATGGAAGAATGACGGAGCGGGCAGGGTGTGGAGGGAGGGCTGGGAATTACACTTTCTCCAGCATCTCCGCAGGGGACATAGCTTAGAGGACAGGAGAGTCTAGAGAGACTGCTCTGCTGTCCAAGGACCGGTGGGGCTGTCCTGGTGTGAGGCCAGACAGCACCCACTGGGCCCCTAGCAAGGTCCCCGGCAGAGTGATCAGGCCTGGGGGCTGCGTTCCCAAAAGGCAGAGAGCAGACCTCTATCTAGCACGTCTGTCCCACAGACTGGCAGACAGATCCCCTCCCTCCCTGCCGCCCAGGAGGGGGCAGCTCTTGGGCTCCAAGGTGGGTGGGGAGGCGGACCTGGGGAGGGTGATGTCCCGAGGGGTTTTCGACAGGGAGCGGAAGGGAACCTAGCTGTCACCTCGGATGCCTCGGCGGATGCGGGGACACGGGCCCCATAACTCCTGAAGTGTCACAGGATTCCCCGAGGAGCCCTCACGAAGCCCTACCAGCTCCTCCATCAGGCCCCTGAGGGAGTGGACAGGCAGACGGACCCTTGGTGAGCTGCTCCAACGCTCTTACCCAGCCACTGGGCCCTTCCAATATCTACTTCCAAGATAGAAGGGAAAGGTGGCATTTTTCAGGAGGGGACGTGGGTCTGGTGTGCCTTCATTCCTGAGGGGGTGGCCCCGAGGGTGTGAGTGTGTGTGTTAAGGTTTGAGATGAGGGCGGTGGTTCCTAGCTGTCCCCTCCATGTCCAGCAGCAGGTTGATCAAGGCAGGACCCCAAGCTCAGAGCCCCCTTCCGCATCCTGTGGCCGCCACTCCTACCCTCCCTGGACGTTTGTCTGCTCCCACTGCTCAGAGCAGTCTCCTTGCCCAGGAGAGTCACTGTCTCACTGTGGGGTCCCCATGGACCACTCTGACTCCCCGTGCCCATCCCTGAGCCTCCACCCCCTCGGCTCAGGCCAGAGTCAGGAAAACCCCAGGCCCGGAAGGAGAAGCCGTGAGGGTCCAAAGGAGGTGCTGGCTCCCTGCCCCCCAGCTTCCTGCTCCTGCCCTACCTGCCCTGCCTTACCCTGGTCCTGGCAGGTTCCATCCAAGTCCCTGCCCCAGCTCTGCACCCGGCGGCCCCTCACCTCTGTCAGTCCGTTCTGCTGTGGCCCCAGCCAGCCCTCCTCTGACAGAGACTCCTTTGCTTGCAGCTCAGGTGCACCTGGACAGGTGTGTGTTCCACCAATCAACATCCTGGCCCCCCCTCCTCCCCGCCCCACCCCTCCGGGGTTTACCCTGGCCATTAAGAATGTCCTTGACAAACCAACTGGAACTGCCCCGGCCAGCTGAGTGGTGCAGGCCAGAGCAGCCAGGAGGGACGAGGGGCAGGGGCTCCCCAACCTACCAGAGCCACACAGAGGCGGGTGGCACCCAACCCAGCTACCGGCTGGGGTACACAGGGCCTGAGAAGGGGAAGCTCATGACACAGCAGGATGGTGAGGGGTCATCTGCAGGGGCTGAAGGTCAGGGCTCTGGGTTCTCAGAGCTGGGCATGGGAGGGGTTTGAAAGAGCAGAAGGACCCATAGGGAAGGGGTGCTATTATTACTGCATCTTTTTTTTTTTTTCCGGTACGCAGGCGTCTCACTGTTGTGGCCTCCCCCGTTGCGGAGCACAGGCTCCGGACGCGCAGGCTCCGCAGCCATGGCTCACGGGCCCAGCCGCTCCGCGGCATGTGGGATCTTCCCGGACCGGGGCACGAACCCACGTCCCCCGCATCGGCAGGCAGACTCTCAACCACTGCGCCACCAAGGAAGCCCTATTACTGCATCTTTGCTATATGCCACGCACTGTGCTCAACCCTCCTCCAAATCAGTGAGTGCTCAGAGAAACTCAGCGAGGTGGGCAGTATTAGGCCATTTTAAAGAAATGGAGTTTCAGAACTTCCCTGGTGGTCCAGTGGGTAAGACTCCACGCTCCCAGTGCAGGGGGCCAGGGTTTGATCCCTGGTCACGGAAACTAGATCCCAGATGCATGCCACAACTAAGAAGTCCGCACGTTGCAACTAAAGATCCCGCGTGCCACAACAAAGATTCTGAGTGCCACAACTAAGACACGGCTCAGCCAAAATAAAGGAATAAGTAAGAAATAAATAAATAAATAAATATTTAAATAAAGAAACGGAGTTTCGGAGAATTGAGGCTGCTTGCTTGCCCAGGGTCACAGAGACTGAGGGACAAAGTTAAAAGTTCCATCCAGGTTTGCCTGACTCCAAAGGCTTCACACCTCTCCGAGGTCCTGCCTTGAAGACCTGCCGTGCTCAGAGCTGGGGAGGGCCCGACGAGCTGGAGCAGGGGAAGGGAATTGGACTAGATCCTCATGTCCAGACCCTCCAGTCTGAGAAGACTGCCTCAAACCACAGCACCCAAGGGGCAGTGGCTCTGCTTGGGGCTTCTACGTAAATGCCACAGACCCTGTCCCACCCCAACGGAATGTAGGAACATGCACACTAGGTCTGGAACCCAGTTCATCCTCCCAGCATCTTTGTGGGTCAGGCACAGCATCACCATTTTGCAGATAATAATGGAGGATCAGAGAGGTGCAGTCACTCATCTAAGGTCACAAAGCAGAGGATTTGTGCCTGATACCACTTTTAGAAGATTTGGGCAAGAGATCTGGGACAATTCCCCCCCC